AATATTCTGGCCGGTAAATGTAATTAAAAAAGAAAACCTGAGCATTTACTTAAATAAATTGTATCTATAAAAATAACGTATAAACAGAAAAATATATATATATATATATATATATATATATATATATATATATATATATTTGGTTGGGTAGATGTGAGTTTGTGACCCTGGGTTCAAACAGCTTGACGATCGTCAGTCAAACCTGACGGTCACTAAAACTCACATCTATCCAACCAAATATGTTAACTCTATCATATAATATATAAATAATTATACATATATATATATATTTATTTATATTTATATACACTTTTCACATATATATATATATATATATATATATATATATATATATATATATATTCAAAATTATTGTATGTGTGTATATACATATGGGAAAACAATACATGAAATTTTATGAAAATCTATGAGAAATTTGAAATTTGACACAATACATTAATTAAAAGAAAAAGCGATTTACTAAGGCGAATATATATAGAAAGTGCTCTAATGACAAGATCGTGCCTTACGCATTACCTAAACAACAATAGCTATAGTTTCAAACTAAACAAGAAAGAATTCTCCTACTATACATGGTTGATCTCAAAGTCTTTGCCTAAGACAACAATTAGCTGAAAGGTCTCCTCAATACTGTAAAATATTCAAATGACGACATAGGTATGGATTTCTGATTAGATAAATGTGCAAAAGTAACATTCAAGAAAAAAAGAATTACAGAAACACACTCAATAGATTTAGATTTTATCACAAAGATTAGGGACCTGGAACGTACATGGTGTCTCGCCTTCTTTAGCGGATCGACTATCACGATTTGGAATATTTCATATATAATAATAATAATGAAGTCGGTTGGTAAGGAACACGATGATGACGACGACAACGACGTCTGCTCCACAAAACAAGAAGAATGGGAATTGAACATTCTGACGTTGATGGTTACGAAGACGCAACTGAGACGCTCATTTCTGTCCACATGTTGGACATTGAATCCCGACACGTGATGTCGGTGGCCCACGCACTTGTCAATCAAGACGTTGCTGCCAGCGAAATTCCTCGTCTTGAATTCAACAAATTTCAAATCTTTCAATGTCATCTGCTCTAATTTCGCGGGATTAATACCACACCGTTTTAGTATTATTTTCAGATTGTCTTTGAAAAGGTTTTGTCTGTTCTCCAAAATAGCGCCGGCCTTCCGAAAGTTCCCCATACAGGTTGATGTTTGGGAGTCGTTCTTCGGATATCCTGATACTATGACCAATCCGCCTGAGCTGGAGTTGGATGAAAAGCGACTAAATGTTTCTACTGCTAGTATGTTGAGGAATATTAACATGCGGTATTCGATCTCACTATGATTAACCGAGGAGTCAGAAGCCCCTATGTGAGATATATATGGCGTCCATGATTCAGGGCCCTAACGCAGATATGGATAGGCATATAGCGTTGTACACTGAAACATTTGTGGAGATAGACGAGTTCCTGTTGAACTTGAACACAAATTTGACCAAAACAAAAGTCAGCAAAACCAAAAGAAGTATTCATTAAAAGTGATAAAAACTTAATACCCCCACCAAAAAAAAACCCCAAAAAACTAAATGATACTGGTTAGACTATATACATAAAACATATATAAAAAAATAATTTCAAATTCAAATTTCAGTATCACCTCTCCTTCAGTATCACTTTAGTCTGGCTGACTGACTGCAGTCCACGTACTTCTACGAACCGTATGCGCTACTGATTCATTATCCCTTATATATATATATATATATATATATATATATATATATATATATATATATATATATATATAGTGATACTTCGGCTTAAGTTGTTTCGAGTTATCGAGTTAAGACATTTTGAAGATACATTGGCTCCGTAGAAAAGTCCCAGTGCATGTTCTAAAGCTAAGCGTAAGTCTAAATCACTGGAAGATAAGATGGAAATTATTTATTTTATTCAGAATATTTTACTTACATATAATAAATACTGTAATAGGCAATGCAATAGGTGTGCTTATTTTCGATTTATAGTGCGGCTATTTCTACTTAAGTCGTTTTTTAAACTAAGTCGTGACCTCTGGAATCAATTAACGACATAGGGTGAGGTATTCCTCTATGTATATTTAGGCATAATTGGTTGAATAATATAGACATATGTTTATTTTTATTTTAATCCTCTCAAGTTCACAATTCAATTTCTTAGTGTTGGTACAAAACTGATTAAGAAAGAAGCCATAATTAATCTTAGTTTTTAATTTCCCCAAGTACTTTCAATCTCATCCAAGATCATCTTCAGGGGTGAATGGCTAAGACAAAGAACTAATGTATTTGACAGTTATGAATGTTGTGTGTATGCATGAAATGCACTCAGTTAATTCAAAAAAAAATTACCACTATGTAAGGGAGATAATTCATAATTGTAAGAATCTTTATTAAAAATTGTAAGAATCTTTATTAAAAATTGTAATTACGTGTTTTAAAACATTCTGTTAGAATTGTATTTTTTTAACAATTACAATTTAGATATTTTAAAACTATGTTGTTACAAACGTTTAAAATATGCATATACAAAAAAACTACGGCCAACAATAAATGAAATTAATCATAATTATAGTGACAAAGTTCTAAAATGTTTGTGACATTCTTTACATGTTTATATGGAGGTCAGGGAGTACATCACAGAATAATGGGGGCAGGATTAATAAACTATTAAAAGTGGTGTGTGAAGGATAAATAGGATTTTAAAAGTAGGAGCGGCAAATTTGGACGACATAATTGGCATAGGTTATAGGATATGCCAAAAAGTGTGAGGGGAGAAATTAGGCGGCAAAAGTGAGCGTAGCAGAAGCAGATATTAAATTGAGGAGGCTAAATAGGAAAAAGAGTTGTAGTGAAAGAGATAATCTAAAGGTCCCTGGTTCAATCCCGGGTTTCGGCACCATAGCTGGGGTCGGACTTTCTTTGACTTCAATTGGTTCAACAACTGCGGTGTATTGGTACAATGTTACTCCGAGAGACAATAATGTGTCGCCATCCGTCGCCATGGCGTTGCCACGTGCTATCATGATCGACGAAAAAGAGGCTGATGAACCAGTGGCCGCAGTTGTTCAACCAATTGAAGTCAAAGAAGGTCCGACCCCAGCCATGGTGCCGAAATCCGGGATTGAACCAGGGACCTTTAGATTATCTCTTTCACTACAAGAGTGTAGCTGTTTAAATAAAATTTTAAAAAAATAAAGTATTCCTTAACCAGTATGTTTAAAGAAATCTGGCATTTTTATTCTCTTATAAAAAAATATCATGGTTATGTCTATATGCACGTATTAGAACGTTCGCTTTCTGACGATGTGACCCGTGTTCGAATCTCACCAGGGTTGATTTTTCAGGTAGGATACTTCCTGATGTTATCAGACTGGAGGGGTAGATCCCAGCGTGCGGCACCCTTGGAAAGTACTTGAAAACCATAGCACGGATTGACCCAAGCTTTATGAGTGAAATTAAGTAGACGGAACATTTGATGGCCGCCCGTAACTGTGCTAGCACAAAGTCAGAACGTCATCAGGACCGAGGGTTTTTGTCTGCTGGCCTTGTTCAGATTGTTGATCATGCTAGATAACACACTCTCTCCCAGAAACTGTAACTAAGGTCTGTTCAGCATAGTTGCAGTGTAAAACACAGGTGGGCTCCGTGGGTGTTGGACAAACATAAATGTTCCTGAGCGAGCGTCTGAATTAGGGATTGGTTAGCCGAAGAAGGCTATCCTCAAATACGAGTAGCCAGCTGTTAATTAATTAAATACATCTATATATCATGGTAGGATATGTGTATGTCTCATGGTCTAATGTCCTAACAACTTGGCCACTATAACTAAATCATTCAAAGCATATTCGAAATTTTAATTTATTTAAAGAGCCTAACTGACAAACATGACAGCCTGTCGATTGGGAGCCAAGAATATTCCGACTGCATATATGCGCAGATGGATAAAAATAAAGTAAATTCACGCTTCATTTCTCTATTCATCAAAGTCGTGAATTTACACGATAAAATAAATTCAATCGTTAAGATGATAATTTTTGCCAAAATGAAGAATTTTGGTACAAAAAAGTAACTAGGATGAAAAAAATGGACGACATTTTTGGATTTGGCGCCTTCAAATTAATCAAGAAAGGCTGCTTCCAGCATTTCACGAAAATATATGCTAACCAGTGTATTTCTATTGCATTGTTATTGTGAATAAACGAATTCATTGGCCATTATCTTACAATAAAGTTTACAGACAAAGAGATAAGAATGTTTTTTTAATGATCAAGAAAAAAATTGACATTAATATTGTTTCACTAACACATGTAATTGATAAAGACACAGAAGGAGAAATCGGCGACCCGAGTTCGAATTCTAGTCGGGTTTATTACAATCATTTATGCACAAATACCATTGGTATGAATCCATTGATACTCCTCCCAGCAATGGGTTGAATAGAAGAACGCTGTTTTTTTAGTTGACAAGCAGTCGATCTCAGACATAAATAGCAACCTACTGCGAGAAAATCTTCTGCTTACTCAGTCAAGAATTGAAAGAGACATGATCTCCCTAGCCTGTATTCCGTATGACTCTTAACTGAATGCTGTTAATCCAAACGTTACTGAAACAATAACAATATCATATTTGGAATGAATTCCTTTGAAATAGTTTTACTTTCATTTACAAGGCAGATTTACTAAAGAAATTACACTGGTAATCAGGAAGAAACTAATTCCAAACGGTTAAAGCAACAATTACTAAAAGGATGAGATTATCGCAGGTATCAAAAGGAGAAATCTTCAGCGTTTCAAAAACTCAAAAGGTTCAAATGGAAAATGCTATTTTCAGTATCAAAATTAGAATTTCATTATTTTTATTAAGCATCTCTGCGTATATTGCACTGTTTTACTTTTGATATGGTTCTTTTTTTTAAAAAAAAATTGGCTTACTTCTATATCACGTTGAAACACCGGTTACCGTATGATTACCGAAGTTAAGCAGTGTCGATCATGGTCAGTACTTAGATGGGTAACCGCTTTAGAATACCAGGTGCTGTAAGTTTTCATCTGGGGTTGGATTAATGGATAACCGCCCGGAAATGGAAATCGAAGAGTTGAGTTCTAATCCCAATTGCGTTCGTTAGAGTCACCCTTGAAAATACCCTTGCCCGAGGTAGGAATCGATCTCTTCTCTCCCAAGCTCCTTTAGGAGTACTTGCATCAGGAAATCATTATGATCTCGAAATATTCTTGCATTCTGAATTTTTTTTGTAACATTAAATAACATACAAAAAGTTGACAGGCCGTAAAAGACAAATCAATCAATTTTTTTCAATCTTGATACTTTTTATAGTAACTTGATTAACTTCATGACTTTTTTTCATTGGCATATATATATATATATATATATATATATATATATATATATATATATATATATATATATATAATAATAATAATAATAATAATAATATATATATATATATATATATATATATATATATATATATATATATATATATATATATTTATTATTACCTTAGAACAGCATTTCCGCCTGGAAAAACATGATTTCAAAACCCATGCCAAATTCACTATAATTGAGAGAATAGAAAAGTTCAGAGCAGATAACATTAGAAAGATTTTAGAGTCCCATGAAAATAAGTGGATACAACGTCTAAAAACAAAATACCCAGCCGGGCTAAATCATAAATTTAACAATATATAGATAGTAACAATATATAAGTCAACAAATCAAAACCTACCCACATTTCTCACCCACACAAGAGAGACATGCTTACGGAGGAATGGAGGCCTCACACTTTATACACACACCCACACGAATATACACACTTACACACATCATACTCACTCACTCCCTAATGAGCCAAATTATAACACTCACATACAGCAATACACACGCTTACACATATCATACTCACTCACTCCCTAAGAACCAAATAACACACACACAAACACTAAACAGAGACACATCCCCTCACCAGGTCCAATAAAACTGTCAAACTGACCAGAGAATTCAGAGTAACATGTATCTATCCAGCTCTTATCTCAAATAACAACTTAAAAGAGACTGTTTGATCAACACAAGGAATGTTAAAAGATTCATGTGAAAAAGATAAAAAAATAAAAAAACAAATGAAAACTACAGACAAAAGTTCATTTTCTCCAGCAAAAGACATTCATTTCTGTAGTTCACTGCTACCAGCAAGCAGAAATATTTCTCCTCCCGATGATGGCCATTTCGGTTGAAACTAGTCGAGGAATCTAAATGGAATAATAATAAAAAAAAAACGAAAGAATATTAATCTACAACCCAGTGTGTCTAAAGATTTTAATTTTTTTATTTTCTAATTTTTTTAATTTTTTTATTTTCTTATTGTTCAATATATATATATATATATATATATATATATAGTTTATGTAAATTTAGGTAATCCGTATGGGTAGACCTAAGGAGGATGATATCTAGAGAGCTCAATGTAAAATTCAGAGCAGATATGTTTGAATAAAAAGACAGACCACGTTAAGATTCCATGTAATAAGCTATTTCACCATAACCCCTTTAACAGGGTTCTGGATCATCAGACTTTACTTCCAAAAGTTAAAATGAAATATATATATATATATATATATATATATATATATATATATATATATTTGAGTCTCTCTATTTTTCATTGTGTGTGTTCCTCCAGTAAAAACTATTTTGTTTTTATACGGCTATTTTTAAAAGACAGCCCAATTCGTCAAACCGATGAGGTGTTTATTCTGTCTCAATAACTTATGAATAGGTAAATATAAGGTTTTGACATTTCCTTTTACTGTCATTCAACTTATGTGCGTATCTGTTTTGTGTGTGCTTTATTAATATTACAATGTGTCTGCGACCAACGACACGAATCTTGATGATTATATTGTGCAAATATTTCCGATTTCTCTATGGAAACTGAAAAGCGTTAATCAACAAAACAAGAAGGGATCTAGTTTAATTAAAAAAAAAAAATTATGATTAATCTTATCACGACTTTGCTAACCAGCGGTCGACACTGGCCGTCAAATAAGTAACATAAAGGAGAAAAATCTAGAAAGAAAATGTAAAAGGGACAAAGATTGGAAAACCTCGGAGGTATTCGGTAAACTTCGATAACATCTTTAGCCCAAATCAAATGACAACGATATATATATATATATATATATAGATAGATAGATAGATAGATAGATAGATATGTTTGTGTGCGTGTGTGCGCGCGTGCGTGGGTATATATATATATATATATATAATTGTGCAGCAATTCTCCTTTTATTCAAGTTTGATTGAAAACGAGAGACAAAGTACTGTAGTCTTTTATGAATGAGGGATTCCTGTCCAAATGCACAATTATTACGTGACTCAGCAGTCAACAAGGACAGTACCTTGTCAGTCGTTTTAATAAAAACTAGTGTATATATATATATATATATATATATATTTACATGCATAGATATATAGATATATACATATAAATGTATAAATACACACACACACACACAAAAAACACACACATATATATATATATATATATATATATATATATATATATATATATTCCAAATTTTATTGTTAAATATAACAGACAACGAGTGTCTATTATGTTTGATCATGAGCCATTCTAAGCTTCGTATAGTTGCTTCAATTTCGGGAGAAAACAAAAACTGTCCAACATTTACATATTTTTTTTTTATTATGCTTTTCATTGATCTTAACTTTCGGCACACATAAGCCATCATCAGAGTGGTTATATGGACATTACAAGAGAGATTTTCACCATAATAAAAAAAATATCCAAATGTTGGACTGCTTTTGTCTTTATTTTCTCCCTAAAATGATCTGCTCCCACCTATACACTAAATACATACATCTGTCTTTTCTATAAGTACTTTCATGGCAACTGCTCCGAGGTGTTACATTCATTGGTCCCGAAACTGCATAAATTTAAACGTGCTACTAGGTTGGCATGTTGTTCCCCCTTTTCACTGTCGAAACGGCTAAATTTAGCCGTCTCTTCTACTCCAACAGCTTCTTATCTCGCACCTCTGGTCAGTGGAAGCTATAATCTTCAAATATTCAAATGTAATGTCAATCGACATCCTCCGTTGCCATGACCTTGATCCCTCTCTTTCTCTTAATCCTTTTCCCAAAAACTCCTTACTCCCCTTACTCTCATTAACTGTAAGGCCGTGCGTGTTAGTGGCACTCCCACATTGCTTGGGGTGATTTGCTTAAAAAAATGTGACAGACAAAGGATATCTTATAAGTTTCCTATTCAGTTTTACATATGTTCTTAATGTTATCTTTGTAATGGGTTTTGAAAGACTGTAGAAACCGCTCATAATTGGTTGGTCAACTTCAACGCCTCAAAAACTAAATTACTCTCCATTAACCACCATAGAGATCCTTCCCTGCCCCCCATTAAAATGTCTGATAGTCAACTTCCTGAGAGCAACTCCCTGCGTCTGCTCGGTCTCACGCTGACTGCTGACCTAAAATGGAACAAATACATTAAGTCAATTGCTTCTTCCACCGCGAGGAAAGTTGGCTCTCTGTGCTGCGCCAGGAAATTTTTTCTCCCCTGAATCGATACTCCAAATATATAAAACAACCATTCGCCCTTGCATGGAGTATTGCTGTCATATATGGGCTGGAGCACCTTCTGCTTACCTCGGAATTCTTGACAAGATCCAGAGACGGATATGTAATCTAATTGGCCCTGATCTAGCGTCTCGTCTGCAGTCACTCTCTCACAGACGCGCCGTCGCCTCTCTCTGTCTTTTCTACAAATACTTCCATGGTAATTGCTCTGATGAGCTGCTTTCACTGGTTCCCAGACTCCATGAATTCAAGCGCCCTACGAGGCTGGCATCGCGCTCCCACCCTTACACCGTAGAAACTTTCAAATGTAGCCGTCTCTTTTACTCCAATAGCTTCATACCTCGCACCTCTCGCCAGTGGAACGCCCTCCCCAATTACTGTTTCCCTGAGAGCTATAATCTCCAACTATTCAAATGTAATGTCAATCGACATCTCCAGTTACCTTGATCTACCCACTATCCTTCTTCTCATCCTTTCTTCTATCACTCCTATCTGCTCTCGCTCCAAATCTTCCTCAACCCCCTGCATCTTAGTGGCTTCACGCCTTGCTTGGGGCGTAATGCTTAAAAAAAAATACGCTCTCGGCGAATTAGTTAATCATTTTCAAGGGCTTCGTGTGTTTACATGACTGTGTTTATGTTTTAAGTTGTATTGTTTGGTGTAGTAGCAATTCTAGGCTGTGCTATCTATCATTGGGGTGTATTTAAAAGACACCCAACACGTTACTAACGAAAAGCGTGCTTGGGACAATAAACACAACGGACAATTTATACAATTTGTTTTCCAAAATAGAAAAACCGTAAGAACGTAAGCAAAAAAATGGAATAAAATACTTTTACATTCAATGAAACTTTTGTTGTTAGATATTATACATCTTAACACACACACATTTATATATATATATATATATATATATATATATATATATATATATATATATATATACGCGTGTGTGTGTATTTATATTTGTAGAATGTATAATAGTAATAATGTAATAGAATGTGTGTATGTATATATATATATATATATATATATATATATATGTGTGTGTGTGTGTGTGTGTGTGTGTGATTGTGTGTGTGTGTGTTTGTATTTGTAGAATGCATAATAGTACACGAAACACAAGTGAATTTAATGAAGAAGCCGAACGCAGCAGACATTCTTCGGTGAAAAGCGTCGTTTATAGATTTAAATTTTGTTCATACACACACACACACACACACACGCGCGCACACACACACACACACACACACACATACATATATATATATATATATATATATATATATATATATATATATATATATATATGATGGAGAGATCATAGCTTTACCAAGGTGAGGAAAGTATATATTTCAAATAGAAAAAGAAATATGGAAAATAATAAATTTAAAATGGAAAATAATATA